TACACACAGACGCTTTTACACACAGACGCTTTTACACACAGACGCTTTTACACACAGACGCTTTTACACACAGAGGCTTTTACACAGAGAGACGCTTTTAATCAGAGAGGCGCTTTTACACACAGACGCTTTTACACACAGACGCTTTTACACAGAGAGACGCTTTTACACAGAGAGACGCTTTTACACACAGACACTTTTACACACAGACGCTTTTACACACAGACGCTTTGACACACAGACGCTTTTACACACAAACACTTTTACACACAGACGCTTTTACACACAGACGCTTTTACACACAGAGGCTTTTACACACAGACGCTTTTACACAGAACAGCTTTTACACACAGACGCTTTTACACAGAAAGGGTTGCTCGGGGACAAGTAAAAGCGCATTTTTTCCTCAGTTTTTGACGATCGACCCTCATTTCGTGCGAAAGGGTTGCTCCGGCACAAGTGAAATCGCAATTTACCGCAGTTTTCGCCGATCGACCCTCATTTCGTGCGAAAGGGTTGCTCCAGGACAACTGAAATCGCAATTTTACCTCAGTTTTCGCCGATCGACCCTCATTTCGTGCGAAAGGGTTGCTCCAGGACAACTGAAATCGCAATTTTTCCTCAGTTTTTGACGATCGACCCTCATTTCGTGTGAAAGGGTTGCTCCGGGACAAGTGAAATCGCAATTTTTCCTCAATTTTTGACGATCGACCCTCATTTCGTGCGAAAGGGTTGCTCCGAGAGAGAGAGAGAGAGAAGATGTGAGTATGTGAAGATGTGAGTGCGAGAGAGAAAGAGAAGATGTGAGTATGTGCAGATGTGAAGATGAGCAGATGTGAAGATGAGCAGATGTGAAGATGAGAAGATGTGAAGATGAGAAGATGTGAAGATGAGCAGATGTGAAGATGAGAAGATGTGAAGATGAGAAGATGTGAAGATGAGAAGATGAGAAGATGTGAAGTGAGAAGATGTGAAGTGAGAAGGTGTGAAGTGAGAAGATGTGAAGATGAGAAGATGTGAAGATGAGAAGGTGTGAAGATGAGAAGGTGTGAAGATGAGAGGATGTGAAGATGAGAAGATGTGAAGATGAGAAGATGAGATACAGACCCCCACTATTGGAAGAACCCTGCGCTCAGACGCTCTCGGGAAAAAGGAAGAAGATCTCACTTTCATTCGCCGAATTAGCCTCATCACATCTCATCACCCTCTCTGTGGGCTGTTACAAATGCAATCTCACTTTCAGTAACCCTCTTGGCCACTCTGTAAGCTGTGGCACACGCACACGCAATACAAGTAGGTTCGGATGCTTTCTCATACTCTGTCCATTGTGTAACGGATCAGCGTTGATGCACCTGGCTCCTTGATGGCTTCGGCTGAGTAGCAGCGGGTGTCTTCTCCTGCGTTTCTCCGGCAGGAATCTGACTGTTACAAATCGAACACAAAGCTGCAAAAACAACGTGGGGAAGAAAGGATAATGGAAGCTGATGGAAACTGCACGTAACTGCACCGTAACTGCACGCAACTGCATGTCGCCTGCTCAGGAGGTGTTTGCTGTGCTTTGGGCCGTGCTTTCTCGACATCGTTGCTGAACCTCCCGGGTTCGTACACTTCTGGTACATCCAAGACACCCACCAGAATGCTGTCAGACATCACGCGCCGCAGCTTCCGGTACTGGCGCATCAGGCACTGGTCATCCAAATCCAGGAACGATCCCTTCACAACGACGTTGGCACCTCCGCAGCAGGCTAGGCTTTCACAAGTCACAAGTTTCTGTCAACTCCCCACATAGAAGGCCTGCTTGGGCCATCTTGGGCCCTAAGAATTCTTTCGTTTCCGAATTGTGCCGAAGACTGTTGAAAAAATTAAACTTAGTGGGTGAGTAGGTGCCGAGCCTGTTTCGCCTTCCATTTCTGCTGTGCAAGTTTGGCAAGGGGAGAGGGGGCGTGAGGAGCACGACTCCAGAGTTTCCACGTCGCTGCGGTCGGTGACGCATGTGCTCTCCTGGCGTAAGATGAATGTTTTTGGGACAAACGTTGACAAACGTCCTATTTTGGGGATCTGGCATTTCCCAGCAAGCGCTTACTTGAACCTGCTGGAACCGGTCACAACTGTGCTTGATAGCCTGCCAATCATTCAGTCAAGTAGATAAAACATTCTTCGATCTCCACCTGCTCACTTCACGCCAAAGAATCACATCCATGACCAGACAGTTTGTTTCGAAGACTTCTCCAAAGAAATTGTTGTTCAGGTTGCTTTAGCATTTGCCGTAGCAGACACCTTTCCCATCATTGTCCCACGTCTGCCAGGGCACTGTGTTGCTGTGCACGGACATGGACTTGGCAAGAGACTGAGGGCTCATGGCGAGAAAATGGATCGGAGACAGACAAAGCAGACCCGGGACCCAGTGGTACCGTTTGCGCGCACTTACGACGTCGCACAATGCTGCTTGATCTGAAGATGAGCTGTAAACAGTCAATGGACTCGGCATCGAAGTTTCCTGCGCGGCTACAGTGATAAAACGTGCGGATCCCCTTATCTGGCTACTGAGTCTACCGCAGATATTGAAGCTCCCACAGATTGCCAGCCTTGAGACGTTCCACTTCTTGTAGAACCTCTCCTGCCAATGTCCCAGCATCAAGGATTGACCGCCCGATGCCCTGACTTTCTGGACTTATCAGTGATGGATTGATGTTCCCTGAATCCAGGTGCAGCAACTCCGACTCCTGGATTGTTTCCAGCCTCAGCCACCACCGATATCAGATACCACGGATCTCATGACCGTTTCTGCATCTGGGTAAAGGTCAAAATTGGATTGGATGCAAACAAAGAATAGGATGATTCCCGCCAAGAAATATCTAAAAAGGATCAAACTATCCCAAACTCATGTTTTGACCTATATATACAGTCGTTGCAGGCGCATAGCGAAACTAAGACGCCAACGGACGCTTCTGTCTCTCCGTCCATTGCGTCTCCAGCAGCATCAGCGGTCAAGGAATGAGATTGTCACAGATGGAACCTGAATGGATTCTATGCCCTATGTATAAACCAGCCCCAAATTGGAGGTGTTGATGATTGGGTTTACCATAATGACTGGGAAACTCACGCCTTCATCTGTTCAAGTGTAGCTGTCTTGTCATGTTGTCATTTTGACGGATGACGTCCAAACCAATTGCTCGTTGACTTGCGATGGCTCAAGTCCCGCAAACTTCTGAAATCAACGAACGGCGAGATCATTCGATAACAATATTCCTGAGTTTCTTCTGGTCAATGTCAGCGCGAAGTCTCAACAAGACCCTCTGCTGTTGCGGGCCACAATTGGATTGTCCATCCGATTCGAAGCTGAGGGCAGTCCCACATGTTTGTTCGACAGGAATCCCCGGTCGGACGTGGTTCATCACCAGAAATTCGGGACAACGGGAAAACCTAAGTTTGTTCTCAGAAGCCGTGGTTGTTACAGTGTGTTTAACATGAAATATGCCAGCAAGCACAGTTTCCTCTCAACACGCAAAAAGTGGCCCACTGATAGATATACATATATATATATACACATATATATATATGTATATATACATATATATGTATATATACATGTATGTACATAATAGTCCCAATAGTTACCCCGAGTTTCAACCAATTTCTGGGATCATCCACACACGTCCAGTCGTCATCCCCAGTCCTCAGCTCAATGGGCTGGTCCTGCCAGGTCAGGTTCATTTTTGTGGATGATTTTACACCGAAAATGGTTTGCAAATGTTGGTTTCTTCAACATTTCTTGGATCCCTGTATCCATGCAGAGATCATTTGCCCTGAGGGTTTTGGATGGTTTTGGGACACCCGAAAATCATCCAAGTTGTTGGTTTAAATAACAGGGAAACCAAGACGGACCAAGAGTTTTCGGGCATCTCAATTTTGAGAAACATCAGCTGCTTTTTGTTGGCCTGATGTTCCAACATCAACCAATGGGTAGGTATTTACCAACATCCACATGCCATAGAGTTGGTTATATATGCCATCTTGTCCCATGACATTCCATTTTAATCCCCACAAAACAGTTGGGCTTAGAAAAAACCCTCATGTTTACCCAAAATGTGGTGAAAATCTGAAGATACTGCACCTCAAAATCCTTTGGTCATTGTGATTTTCCTTCTGACACGTCCATCCTCCTGCGTGCAGTTGAAGACGCAGCTAACCTCGAAGGGATTCCGCAGCGTCTCACTGGCCTGGCTATAAAAACAGCAATGGAATGAGATGAGATGATAAGTACTATAAGGCCTTACATCTGTACATCTATATATATATATAACATAGACATTATCATGAGGTGAAAGTAGGTTATAGTCAAGATACATTATGATCATTATATATGCACATTAAATCACATTGTTTCTATGTTACTATGCACTATGTACATGTGTACATATGTACATGTGTATGTACAAACATGTCGAATTCCTGGCAAAACATCCCTTCAATCTGTAGTCCGCCAAAATGCTAAGCAGTGTTAGTTTGTTGTTTTGTATTGACTTCAACCTACTATATAGAGCTCTTAATGGAAACACATCTCACTGATCGCCTTCTTCCCGGTTCAAAACATAACAGTCATAAGTTGCATTTCTGACTGTGTTTGTTCTATAAATGAGGATTGATTGCGATTGCAGTTCATAATTGATGAAATAGACATTAACAAATAACTCACCTTCATGGTTGTCTTCCAGTCTTTGGATGTCAGAATGTCCTTCACACCGTCCCATTTAAAGTATCAATCTGCTTGTAGTGATGAGGTTTGCAAGCGCGGTCTCTCTCAGAAGCCTTATATACTCCACGTTGAACAGAATGTTTGAAACATGAGCCATCTTCATTTTGAATGTTGATACAGGCCTTTTTCCTTGATCCAGTGAGGTAATTCAATGAATAAACCACCACGAGATGAATTGCACTGGTCAGAATGGAGTTTCATGTGATTGCTTGTTTAAGTATCATTCCACTTTCTAAAGAAAATC